TCACTCCTCCCTCCCTCATTCATTCACTCACTCCTCCCTCCCTCATTCATTCACTCACTCCTCCCTCCCTCATTCATTCACTCACTCCTCCCTCCCTCATTCATTCACTCACTCCTCCTGCCCTCATTCACTCACTCACTCCTCCCACCCTCATTCATTCACCCACTCCTCCCTCATTCACTCACTCACTCACTCACTCACTCACTCACTCACTCCTCACTCACTCACTCACTCCCTCACTCACTCCTCCCTCCCTCCCTCTTTCACTGCCATTGAGCCCATTTGGATTCATAGCGACCTTACAAGTACAAACTTTCCCCGTGAGCTTCTAAGACCATCACTCTTTAAGGGTCTAGAAAACCTCATCTTTCTCTGGAGGGATGGCTGGGGGTTTCCCAGGTGGCACAGTAAGTAACGAGTTGGGCTGCTCACTGTATGGTCAGCAGTTCAAACCCCAGCAGGGCCTCTCTACCCTGTCCTACAGGGTCACGATGAACCAGAGTTGACTCATGAGATGGAAGTGAGCCTGGGTCTGGGCCTTGAGGTGATCAGCTCAGTGGGTAGCCATCTACCACCAGGGCTCCTAATCCCACCCTAGATACGTCCTACCAGACCAGGGTCAACATGTCTACAAAACTAAAACCATCCTCAGCACACTGTGCTGGTGAACTCCTAGCCAGTTGCTGCTGGGCCGTGGGTGTCAAGCCAAGCTGTGCCCCATGGGTTTTCCGGCATGAGTTTTGCTTGTTTGTTTTTGCAGTAGATGACTGGGCTTTTCTTCTTGGGCACCTCTGGGTGGACTTGAACCTGCAACCTTTTGGCTAGCGGGTGAGTATGTTAACTGTGTGCATCACGGAGGGTAGGAAAACTCAAGAATGGGAGAGGCCAAACATGAATCTGTTCAAACCCTAGGGAAGGGCAGTCTTTCTTTCTTAATCTTTCACTTGGGGATATACCACAGGGTTGATTTAAGAGCAGACTTAAGGTAGGCTGCGGGTGGCCCAAGGATGTGGGGTTGGGGTTAGGTTGAATGCATCTGGTTGTGTGCAGCAGCTAAGCAGGGCTTCTTGGGTGCTGGCAGGGACATGAGACCCACGTCCTGAAGCCAAACTCTACATGGAGACGTGGCTGTGGCCCCATTCCAGAATCAAACACAGAGAGCTTGTGTTTCGGCGGTGGCACCACGCACCCTTCAGGTAGGTGGGAGTGGTGTGTGTCACCCTGCTCAGAGAGGCAGTTGGCATCTAGTGAATGCTGAGGTAAGTGTGTGACTATACCGAGGCATCCATGGCTCTCAAGGGCACGGCACCGCTCCTCAACTTACCTTCTTTGGCATCATACCACTTGGAATGCCAGACTTCCTCGCCCATGGCTCTCCATTCAGCCTTGTACTTGAGGATGGGCACTCCACCTGTGGCCTCCGGCTCATCAAACTGCACCTGGGCCGTGCTAGAGTACGGCTCCACCTGGTCGATGGACGGGGAGGACGGGGTGTCTGTGGCGAGGGGAGAGCAGATGTGGAGACCTGAGTGACCACAGTTCTCCATGGTGAAGCATCTCTCTCACCGTGGCTGGCTCTTGAGAACCCTGCCCCTTGTATCGCATGTCGCTGGCCTACCACAGTGCATAATTCTCTCCCCATCTGCCCCATGCCTAGATCCCCAGGCTTTCATGGCTCCCCACAGTCCCAGCTTCACCAAAGCAGGCACAGTGGGCTGGCTGGGGTGGGGGGTGATCTAAGGCAATGCCCACCTGCTTGAACCAGGATGAATTCCAAGGACTCCTGCCCGATGCGGTTCACGGCAGAGCAATTGTAGTTTCCAAAGTCGTTTTCCGAGTCTGGGGTGACCTTTAAGAGGAAGGAGCTCATGGGTGCCAAGTCTTCCGCGAGCCAGTCACAGGCGCCAATCCTTACCTACTGTCTTCCCTTCATAAAGAACCACCAGTTGCTGTCCAGTCGGTTCTGACTCGGGCGGTCCCACGGGTGTCAGAGCAGAACTGGGTTTATCATGGCTGGTTTAATGGCCAGAAACCGAAGGCCAGGCCATTCTTTTGAGATACCCAGGGTGGATGCAAACCTTGGACCCGTTGGCTGGTAACTGAGTGCTTCACCGCTGGAGCTTCCCAGAACGTGAACCAGTGAGGCCTGGGTCCCAGACTCAGGCTTAGGCCAGAGAGAAGGATGGGAAGGGGGTGGGGGTGCTCCTGGCTCCAGCACCACGGAGAGGGTCAGTGCAACAGAGAAAGGGGTCAGGGGTTGAGACCCAATTTCTTCTGTAGCCAATGGCTCCCCAGAATGTTCTGTGGTTGGGTGGGTGGGGGTGGACAAGAGCGAAGGTTCTGGGCACACACAGAAGATGGCTCCCAGTGCACCTTGACCTTCTCCACGCGCCCGCCCAGCCCAGCACTCACCTCCAGGTAGCTGGCTGAGGGCGTGTTGTAGATCTTGATATTGCTGTAGTTGGAGCTTGGCAGCAGCTGACCGTCTCTGAACCATGAGATGGTGGCGCTGGGATAGGCAAACACCTCGCAGGTGATGTTCACCTGGTTTCCCTCCCATGTGTACACCGCCACGGGGCCTTGCAGCTTGGGGGCATCTGCAAGAGGGAAGATGAGGCTCTCAGGGTGACCCCTGAGACTATGGAGCCTCACGTGCCCTGCTGCTTCCTGGGGTGACGTGTGTGTCCTAGGGCAGAGCTGCAGGGCTCACCCGCTGCAGGGGCGGCTCAGGGTCAGGCAGGCTTGCGAGGAGTATGGAGACAGTGCATGGGTGGGCTCGAGGACCAGATCTAGGGCAGGGGCGTAGCTGGGGCTCATGGGGCATCCTGGGTCCTGGCGGCTCTCACCAGTCTCATCCGGATCCCTCAGTCCCCGCCTCCCCTCCTGTGGAGACTCACATTGCACTTCCAGGTACATGGCCTGAGAGTCGTGGCCGATGGTGTTGCTGGCAGTGCAGATGTACTCCCCAGCGTCCGTGTACTGGATGCTCTTCAGGGTCAGGGATGACACGCGGGCATGGCTGCGCACCACCATGTGCCCGTCCAGGGTCTGCCGGGAGGGAAGAGGGTGTGTCAGGGCCCCAGGCAGAGCGGGGCTCCACATGGGCTGAGGGTAGGGATGGGGGCTGTTTGTGGTCAGTCTCACATCCTCTGTCCTCACCGTGCCAATCTCTAAATCTTTCTTTAGGTTCTAGCTAACAGGGCAGCTCTGGGCAGTGCCAGGGACAAGTCAAGCTGCCTACAATATGTGCTTAGGGTAAGGAGGGGCAAAGTCACCCCAGATGACTCTGGCTGGGGCGGGGGGTCAAAAATGGCAGTGAAAGCCCTGGGCAGCCAATATTTTGAGATTCTGGGATTCCTGTCCTCCCTGTTTGTCCTTCTAACTGCCTGTCCATCCTTCCCGGTCCCAAGATGCCTGCGCGTGTAATGGGGACGGGGCATGTGCCCCAGTATTAGGAATGGCACAGGAAACACCTGCCAGCACAACACGAAAAGGATTCCGTCCCAGAAAGTCAAACAACTCAGCTCAGGCAGGGGCTGGGAGGCTGGGAGGGAGCATCACGGGAGGGAACATCACGGGGTCCGCTGCCCAGGACAAGTCATACAGAGGGTCCCACACCGACGTGGGATCTTTGGCACCATAGTCAACACCCTCCTCTAGTTCTCGATCCTACCTCTCCCTCTGGAATGACAAGGATCACTCCCAAAGAGACCAGGAGTAAGATCTTAGGGCGATGGGCATGTCCGTCTGCGTGTCATTGGTTTGTTTTTCTCTTGGACACGCTAAGTAGGAGTTCTGGGAGGAGGGCAGGAAGAATCTTTTGACAAGTGAGTCGGAGGTCTCAAACTACGCTCGATGTCATATAGCAGCCCGCCTGGGACGCTCAGGAGCAAGGCCCTTTCTGGGGGGGGGGGGGGTTGTTCTCCTAGCACTCTCAGCAGACAGACCTATCTGGAGATGCCCTTTCCTACTGCCACGAATGAATAGAATTGCATTCAGTCTTTTACACGCCAATCACATCGCACATCTGGAAGCTGGGACACGGCCACTCAGCCAAAGGCAGAAAAGTCAAGCAAAGCCATCACCATCGATTGCTGCCCAGTCCTTCTCTCTGAGTTCCGTGCCCTGAGGCCCGAGGCGCTCAGCTCCTGTTTGACCTGTCCATTTATGAGTCCCGTGGGCTGCGAAGATGCAGCCCGTGCAATGCTGCCTATTAACAAGAGACGACAACAGATAGGTGTGAGACACTTTGTTAGGAGGTCTTGAGACCTCCAGTGTGTTGAAGATGGTTCATTTCAGGGCCCCTTTGGGGCTGGCAGGCTGCGTGGATAAAACCCACTGGCAATTTCCTATGCCATGCCAGATCTTGACCCATCGGTCCAACTACCAACACCCGGAGTGTGAAGCCATTTTCGTAGATATCTCGAACGAGCTGACCTGACTTTCACCTCACTTCTAGTGGCCCCGAAAGACAGCAGGAATGAAGGTTAAACTCAAGGTCCACCCTGGCCTTCTTGGCTACTCCAGTGATGGCACAGGTGCAGTCCTGCAATAATGCCGACCGGTGACTACACTACAGTGACTGCAGCTTAATTTGACACAGATGGGACGGGTCAGGGGGCCGCCGTGCACAAACTGGGAAAACCGATCAGTCTTCAGGAAGTCAAGGAGAAAACACTGCAGCAACAGAGGCAAGCAAAGTCCTGCAGGTCAGAGGAGGGCCCTCAACAGAGCAGAGGGCAGAGCCGTCTTGAGCACACTGTTAACCAGTGGACCCAGGTAGAGTTTCTGAGAATGTAACTCTGTATGGGGGCAGATGGCCTCATCTTAACTATGAAGAATCTTTAAAAAATGCCTCAAGGGAGCTCAGGAAATGAAATAGTAGCTTGATGACCATCCCTTCCCTCCCTTTCTTCTGCCTCACCTCTTCTTTTCCCTACATGGAAAGCTCTCACTGAGTGATGGCAGCAGACATTGGGCAGCTCTCTGTAGAGAACTGCTATTTCGCAGAGGAAGGGATTGGTGAGGAGGGAGTTACATGCCAGGTGCCTTCCCTTCTCTCTCTGAGGGGATGCACAGAGACTCCAGGGCAACAGAACTGTTTTCAATGGGAATGTTCCAGCCCACCACCCGGACCATATGTCATGGGGACAGTCCAGGCCGGAGCAGAATGAATGGGCAAGAATGAAAAGATTAGGGAAAGACCCTATTTTTCTAAAAAGCACGAAGGACGATGACAATGATTCTTCCAGTCCAGATAGTTTGACACCTCCTCTTCCAGGTAAAAGCACTGCGGCTTTGTACAGGCCTTACAGAATGGCATGAGTCATAACCCAAGTCTTCTTTAGAACTCATCTAGACTAGGGTCTTCATCTCTGAATGAGGTCAACAGGAGAGAATGGAACTTCTGAGGCCCAAGGGGAACCCGAGAGAGTCCAGGGTACTTCTGGAAAACAGAGTGAGGTGGCTGCTTTCCTGGAAGTAAACCTATTACTTCCACTAATAATAATTCTCTTATCATCTCTTACTGCTTTCTGAAAAGTCTCTGTCCCTCCTCTACCCACATCTAAATCAGCATGACCAGCAGGAAGCTGTTCAGGGCCAAGCCAGATGAGATGTGTAGCCTCCCAAGAGCAGTTCATAGCTAACTCTTCTCTCCCATTCTCCAAATCCCAATGGCACGATGCCTTTCAGGCTGGGAAACACCCAGCCTGGGACAATGCTCCTTGAACCTCATTTGATGGGACGGAAGCATTTCAGAGAGGACATGCACTTCAGGACAGACCCTGACATCCAGGGCGGTGTGATGCAAAGAGAGCTTATCAGGAAGCCGATGCCAAGATGGTGGTGTATTCACATGCAGAAAGGCATGTCAGTGCCTGGGGATAGGCAGTCAACGTTTAAATATTCAACAGCATTACATATTTATAAGCATGACTTGAACACACGAGCCATGTGTTCTGAATGACAATCCACCTTGAAAGACGAAGGGGAAAGACCAACCTGTTTAAACTAGAGTCTAGGGGCATCTCCCTGTTCTGCATCTAGAAAAGTATGATATCAAAGCTCTGCCTGGAAATGAGACAAGGGCGGATTCCAAAAACACGGTTTACATAGACTCAATCCTTGAGTCTCACAAAAAGTGTACCAGTTCTCACTTCACCCTGTCAAACCCGGTGGGGCGGGGAAGGTGAGGTGATTACGACAGGGGAGACCATTAACAGGACCTTGGGGTGCAGCAATTAAAACATAAAGATTCCTATGTAGCATCTGTTTCAAATTCAGTCTCCCCTCCACACGCCACTGCCCAAGTGTCTTTGACATTTCATAGGCTTTCCTCTCTGGGGAAAACAAAACAAAAAAACTATGCTCGTCTGTGCCCAGGCCTTCCACACTCATACATGTAAATGCTCTATGGAAGTTAACACAAGTGCGTTTAGCAATTTGGGAAAGCCGAGCCGAGAGATGTCATTTGCATTTGCTTGTGTCACGAAATGGAATGAGACCAACCATTATAAAACGAGTGAGCAACAAGGTGAGTTGAGTTGGGAATAAAAGAGCAGAGTAGGTCTTCAGTTCACTAAGGCTGCAGCTTTACACTCCAAAGCCACAGCAACCAGGTGGGAGGAAAATAAAGAAATAAAAATGTCTGTCCACCCCCATCATTTCCAAATGCCTGGCCCAGGAATTGGGGCAATTGATTTCTCTTAAGTACAATTACCTGGGTATGATTTTTTTTTTTTTTACCAGCACCAGCAAGAGAATATGATCCAGTCTTAAGAAATAGTAAGGATTTGTTTATCCATTCCCAACACAGCTTGCTTGCTCATCCTAAAGCTAAAGGCATGGGCTACCTCTATTGACTTAGTCTTTAACCGAGCTACATGACTAATTAGTTTAGCACGTCTGGTTATTAAACGGAGATGAAGAGTTAAGCTGTCACGTTTTCAAAACTAATAACTGGCTAGTGGTCAGGTAAGCTATACCTCTTGCTTCTCTGGTCGAGTCCACGAGGCCTGGAGAGAACAAGATATAAAACACAACAAGAAAGCAGTAAAATTTTACAACATGTTGCTTTAGAGAACGGATGTATCACACTGCATTCCGTGCACATGCAGCTTCTTTTTCAAGTCAGAACTTTTTCCAAGGCCCACTTCCGACGATGTGTTTGTTACCCAATTTAATTGAGGATGCAGATTACGTTCAGCTCGTCTCTTCCCCCCCCCCTCGTGCGCATTAAGATGGCTAATGCCAAAGCAAAGGCTTCCCTAATTGTTGGCAGACACAGATTGGGGTTCTCAGCAGGCAGATTTGCCTACTCCTGTCACTGATGTCTTCAAGACCCCTCTGGGGCTGGGTGGGTACCACTGGCCCTAACTCCATCAGCTAGAGACCCTGACAGAGCAGGTCCCCTCCTTGGGAGTTTTTTAGACAGTTCATCGCAGAAAAAGGGATGGCATTTTATTTCTGCTCATGCACAGTGTAACTCTCTGCATGCATTCTGTTAACTTTTGTTGTTGTTTATTTTCAAAAAGGAAGAAAGAGCAGAACGTGAGGAATAAGAAGAATGTAGCCCTTACAATGATGGGCCAGGAGGAGTTGGGCATAGAAATGCTGAGGGCCTGGGGAGGGCTCCTGGCACCTCTAAACGGCAGAGGGATGCCCGGATGCCATGCAGGCACCAGCAGGCCCCATCTTCCTCACACCTGGCATTCACACGGGAGGGGGCCAACACGGCAGCACGGAGACCCGGGGCCCTCTCCTACCCGCCTCTGCATTGTTTTCCATCTCTGTGGATGGGCTTTGCTTACAGTTTTGTTTTGTTTTTCTGTTTCCATAGTGGGTGTTCCAAAAACCACCATACCTGCCCTGGTCTTTTTATGAGGTGGCCCAGCTGCCTGTTTGTCCCCAATACTCAGATGGAAAAAGGACAGAAAAGATGCCGGACACACACACAGCGATGCAATCCAAGGAGATGATAACGAGCTGGCACACATGGGACTGAACGCGGGATGAGGACAGCATGACAAGGCTGTGCTATGTCACATGATGAGATGTTGGGCGGAAGTGGGAACAGGGGAGCATGCAGAGACTAAGATGACAGTGGGCCAACATGTCAATGGGGCCTGCCGATTCCACGTCACTTAGAAGCTTGTCTGTCACCTGCCAGGGCCAGATGCATCAAGAGCTCGTCTTGCGGGTCTCTATCACATGCGGTTGTCTGCTTCTCAATCTGATGCTCCGTCTGTCTGTCCTAAGGAATTTTGTCCTCTGTGGCTTTTAGAATAAGTGGCTCCTTGTAACTAAACTGCTTCCTGCAGCTTGATTCTCCCGTCCTGTGAATGTGCTTAGCCCTGATGCTTCGGTGAAGGGGGTGGCCCACTTTAACCTGATAAGCAAATATGCCCACTTCAAATAAATGATTAGTGATGCTCCCCAAAGAATCAGTTCTCAGGTCTTCATCTGTTGACAGTGTTTACTGTGTTGCACACATGTCTGTAGGACCATGTACACAGACTTGAATGTCCTTCTACTGATCCTAAGTATTCCCAGTTACACCCATGCCCTGTGGGCAGGCCAGGGTCTCATTCTTCAGCTTCCTCAGACTTCCCCATGTTTAAAAGTAGGTAGGGGGATTTGTCTTGAATTAAGAGCTTTCTCTGGTGGAAAGAAGTTCCCGTATCTGGGACAGTCATGAATTTCAAAAGTTTTCTCTTATTTGTGGGAGACTTTGGTCAACCCAATTAACAACTTCTTGAAATGCTTTTCATTTCCTGGCCTCTCTCTTCTGATCTCAACTTCCCATCCCTCCCCTTTTCCTTAATCATGAAAGCTTCATGGGTTTTTCTTCCCCAGCAGATATACAGTGGTCTTGTCCTTCCAGGGACAGAGCACACAGACCACGGGGAGTCTTTGAGGCACGAGTCTGACTTGGTGTGCAAATGCTTCATGGGACTGACTACCCCTCCAAATCCTGGTGGTCTGGAAGATGGTTCTGGGTCGGATGAGTACTGAAGCTAACGTGGTGGCACAGATTGTCTGTGTATCTGCAGTATCCCGGTGCCCTCCACATACATGGTCAAATGCACTCATGAGGATGGCCCACTATTTCTTTCTGACACACAATAGGGACAACAGCGCCATGGATTAACTTTCAGGCACTTCACCTACCAGGATGATCTCGAGGGAAACTAAAAAAACAACAACAGACTTCTTAGATATTGTTGAGCTCCACCACCTCAACTGGTTGCAGCTTGCTGCACAGATACAAATCTTAAACAAGTGACTGCACTCAACACAGAGGCACGATCAAATATCGACAGTGCGCGCCTTGCAGGGTCCTTGTCCTGCTGTGGTTTCTCTCGAGCTGAATAAAGGAGAGTATCTGGTAGTCCACAAGGAAGCCACTATGTATGAATATATCTGTGGTTAAAAGCCTTTTCTTCTAGGGAGAGTGATGCTAGGGCCTAACTTAAGAAGTAAAACAAGAGCTAGCTGCTTTGATTAACTTCTATTGCATCTAACATTATTAAAGGAACCACGGAGCCTTCCGAAAATGCCTTCAAATCACCAGTGAGCACCAGGGCATTAGATACCCAACTTCAGTACCCCTGGCCCATGGGGACACCCTGTGGCATTTTTAAGGGCATGCGACCTTGACCCAGTCAACAGTTTAATCAGTGACCTGGGTAAAGGTATTTAAAAAAAAAAAAAATCCTCAGACAAGGTTGGAAGTAAGAGCTAACCCAAATGCTAGGAGATGGAGGTGATGCTGAGGCTAACTCGTGCCAACCTTTAGGTCTTGCGGCTGGGCTGCCGTGGACTTGATGCATAACAGAATCAGGGGCTCACATGTGCTGAACTGCCATGGACAAAGACTCCTGATGGACAAGACTTCTGAAGGACAAAGGGCAGGCCTGATGAGAACCAGCCCTTACTGGTAAAAACAGTGGTACTCAACCGAGAGGCTCTTTGTGAATGTAGCCTTGTTTTTTTGGTTAATCATGGTGGTGACAGTGATCAGAGGTGGTTACTGGTGATGAGTGGGAGGGGAGTCAGTTGAAGGTCAAGATCTTGCAATGCAAAAGACATGCCCACACAAAGAAGCTCCATCCTGAAGTTGCAATAGGGACTTCACAGAGAGCCACCGGGCTGCAACAACCCAGGTAAACATTGTAACAGAAATCAATATAAGATTCTGAATGACTGGTTACGATACTCATTGCACACAAACAGGCTAGGGATACGTGGCTTAAATGCAGCTCGTGTGACCCAGTCCCGCTCATCTTAGTTGACCAGATACACAACAGGAGGCAACAGGATTGGGAACTTGCTAAAGGGCAGGTGCAACTTTAAGAGCATGATAGTGTCGAGATCCTCAACAATACGGGCGGATACAGTGGCGACACCCTGGGGGCTCAAACGTAGGAACAGAAGTGAGGATGGCACAGGACTGACCCTGCTGTACGTAGGGTCACTGTGAGTCATCTGAACAGACCCAGGAGTGTGCAGGTCAAGGGAGATATTGGCTCCATTGATGCCTGCATTCGTTAGACTTTGTCTGCACTTCGGGGCACCACCAAATTGTGGGCGAATGCCAGTGAATGGGAGCTGTCCAGCAGACCCCATGACACAGAGGGAATAGTAAAAGGAACTGGGCGAGTTAAACAGACAAAGCGTGGAGAATCTAATCGTCACTTGCAAATGTAATAGTTCCCACTCAATGGGCCGAAGGGCAGAGGTGGGAAGGTCTAAGAAATGGAAGGGGGCAAGGAAGGAGACCTTTCTGATCATTACCTCTGACCAATTGCTCTGTGAGGGTCGGAGATCATGAAGCTGGGGCAGGGATCTTAGAAAGAGTGCCAGGTGAGATGAGGGAATGTCCAAGGTGCCTTTCAACCTTTTGTGATTCCAGCATTCCAGTCACCCAATCATCAGGATGCTTCTTTAACCTTACCAAATAGATACAATGGCCCGTTCTCCTCCACTTAGTGCTTATTATCATGACTGTGAAAATGAGATTCTTGGAAATCTTGTTGCCCCTTGGTATATAAGCGAATTTTAGGTGGAGAAGCAGCCAAGGTAAGAGTGTCATTTAGTATCTGTAGTTCACTTTGTTCACAAATGGGCCATGTTTGTTTTCGTACATTTTAGCTCTCCTCAGTGTAAGACAGATATTCTGTTTCTTGGAAGTCAATGTGTAATTAATATAAATTTTAACTCTTCTTATAAAAGCCAGAAAGGAAACTCACTGCCATCGAGTTGATTCTGACTCATGACGACCCTGTACAACCCAGAGTAGAACTGCCTTGGTGGGTTGTTCCCGAGAATACAAATCTTTATGGGATCACACAGCCTTATGCGTCCTCCCACAGAGCTGCGGGTGGTTTCGAACTTCTAACCTTACAGTTGACTAGCAGCCCAATGTGTAACTCAATACGCTACCAGGACGCTTCACTTCTTCTTCATGCCTGGTCTCATGTACCCAAGCAGGCTAACCATCTGGTGTGGTAACACTAGCTGGCTTGGAGGGCACATTCTAACTCCTGCTCCAATAATGTCACGTCAGAGTAGATTTTAAGGCAGTTGTTAATAAAAAAGCAGCTGTGATACCACCTGCATGCAAAAATGACCTCAGAGGATCTAAACTTAGACACAGAGAATGAATCCCTATTATGCCGGAAGCCCTCTGACTCTTATTGGACTTCCATCTTACAGCACCACTTTAGTGAGCTGAAGAATGTCCGGTGCTGCTGACTCTGTTCTGGTTCACAGGGAGGACAAGTGCTCCATACTGTTCTCAGGGCTGTGACCCATAGCAAGCACATCCTGTCTTCCAAGTGCCTCTGGGTGGGTTCGAATCGCCAACCTTCCGGCTAGTGGTTGAGTGCTTGCTTAGCCATTCATGCCACCAGGGACGCCTGAATGTGTTTTCGTGGCTGGGTCTTGGTTCTCCTTGTTGGAAAAATGATCTCACAGATATAAGCTAGAATTGCTTCACTATTAAAGAACCTGAGGTTGTGGGCACAAATCTTCATGACCTTTCTAGTCTAGCTTGGCTATTGAGCTATTCCTAGAACAGATAGAGAATGTAAAAGTATCATTCCTCAGAGACAGATTAGTATGGCTGTCCTTCACTGTAGGTCAAGGATATGCACGGACATGGTCATTCTGGACAGTTCAAATTCTCAAGCCTAATGTAGAGAAGTCTGCCAAGCCGCAGGCCCTATATTTGAGCCCTGAAATGCACATTCAATGCACAGCACACACACAATGGGATCTGAGATCTGAGCTGAGATTTCAGTTCCAGGGCCAATAAAGAAATTATCCAAGGAAACACCACGCTTCTTAATAGAGTTGATTTCCACAATATCAAGCAGCATGTGCAAGTTTCAAAAATACTTAGCAGCTCCTCAGACGGCCTTTTTGGTTAAAAGTTGGACTGCATGCTAGAGGCACGACTTGCAGAAAGGAGGACTGGGTGGCTGAGAGCACCCATCTTTGTCCCCTCGGTTTGGCACTGTGCCGAATGGTGGGACAGTCGTAAGTTGCTCAAATGCAAATCTTACATTTGGTGCTGCAATTTCATGCTAGCCCTTTTTGGCTTGGTTTGAGTTCCTGTTCTCTAGAGACTTCCTGCAGACAGGAGGAAGGGTGAAGGTCTATCGTTTTAGACATTCTAGTCAATAAACCATCCATTCTAACGGTTCTTTAAGACTAAGGGCATTACTCCTGAATAGGTGACAAAGCTTTGGCCAAGTCCAATGAAGCCCATTACTACAGTATCTATGAGATGAGCTTGGAGAAGTGCCCTAAGAGGGTTCAATTTGGTTCAAAACCAAGCTTCCTCCTCCTGCTTTCGGACCACCCCGCAACAAAGAGCTGCACACTGGAGGGGTCACCTCACTCTCACCCCTGTCAGCAGCAGTGACTGCTTCTTGGGGCTATCAATGCACATGCCGCTCACTCAATCTTCCCGGTCGTTTAATGCACCGGGAGGGTTGCGACTATATCCAGAAACCCGCAGTGACTACGTTGCAGAAATCTGGGTGTAATGATCATCACTTAAAAACTGCTAATTATTTTTGCCTTCCAAACAAAACGAGAGCCATATGTGATCAAGAATACAGGCAGACACAAAGACAACCAAGCTCTGGCGCGCAGAGTGCATGTTTATAGCATGAGTCCATGGAGCAAAGGAAGAGAATCCCTAGATTCCTGGGAGGCATTTTCTTGGGGGCTCCTGAGATGAGGAGGAGACTACCACCTGGGGCACCAGGATCCTCTCGGCTCCAGAAGCCTGGGATGGAAAATCACTCTGCCCTTCCTCCCTGGAACCCCTAGCTTGACCACACCCACTAACACCGGGAATTGGGCCCCTTCCAGTGCCAGGGCATGCCAAGCAGGCCGTGTCTGGGCAGGCTGGGGGAAGAGTGGCAGAGGACTGGGTGACCACATCCCATCTTCAGGCTCATCGAGGAGGACTGGGCGTGGGGCAGACCCGAACGGTGTCAAGTCTGGATTCTCGGGCCCTGAAACTCTTGGGGGACAGTATACCTTTTCTTCACTGCTGATGTTTCGGGTGGAGGTTCTCCAGGTGATGGAAGGGATGGGGTCCCCCGAGGCTTCACAGGTCAGAGTGACTTGCTCCTCCAGCTCCATGGCAGTCTGGTTCTCCACGTACGTGATTTTGGGTTTTGCTGAAAAAGCAAAAGCATGTCTCTGAGATTCGTGGATTTCCCCACCCCTGGCAGGGTCTAAATTTCAATCTGCAGAGTCAGATTTTCATGCCAATCAAACCAATCACCACTGAGCCATCTCCCACGCAAGGCGCCCCATGTGTATCTAAGCAGGCAGGCCTGTGCCCTACAGGGCTTTCAACGGTTGGGTTTTAGAAGATCACTAGGAGCTACTGGGTGGACTCGACCTCCAAACCTAAATATACTTCAACAGCCCAGCAAGTTGACCTTTCCACCCCCCACCCCCCACCCAGGCCCTCCATGGGCTAAGTGCATGAGTCTCTCACAGGTGTTGTCAGAGACGAACCCCCACGGGGTGCATCGTGGAGTAGGTCTATGAGAACGCAGAAATGAGTACAGTAAGAGCAACATCCTGCATTGTATGCGTGCTATGGGCCACAGGGCCAGGAGGCGGTCAGTGGAGGGCTAGTGCTCGCCTGGCTGGGGCCGTCTGCAGGAGACGGCTGTGGGGTCCAGCGACGAGGCTTTCTGTCGGGGCGACTTTGGAGGTGCAGATGGGAGATCTGCTCGAGTAAAAGCAACGAAGCAAGAACAGGCCGAGACAGCGGCGAGGGCTGACGTGGTCTGAGCCAAGTGCTCGTGCATCAGCGCAGAGGGAGAAGTTGCCGGACCTTGCGTGGAGAGTCCCAGCTGCCCAGTCCAGGTGCAGGCTGGGAATTTTTCCAGTGGCTGATGGGGGGTGGGGTGTTGACGGTCTTGGAACGAAGTGATCATTTGTATTTTAAGAAGGTTAATCGAGGGGGACGGGGAGAATTGAGGATGGTTTAAAACGAAAAAGCCTTGAGGTGGGAAAGTCCATTTGGAAGCCCTGGTGACAACCCAGATGTGATGTAACACCCCCTGAACTAGGCCGTCCCTCTGAAGCGCACGAGATACAGGCAGGGGAAGCTCTGAAGAGAGCTGTGATTGGAGGCGACGGGGCAAGTCAGTTGGGTGGAAGGAATCGAGGGCAGGAACGAGGAGTCCAAAGGACTGAGGTCCCCAGGGATGAGGGGAGGCTCGTGATGGCCTTAAGTCAAGTGCCAAAACCAGGCAAGGAATGGGTGGGGCTGGGACTGGGGCTGGGGGTGGGCAGGAGGTAAGTGGAGCTGAGTTCATTTCCCAAATGCTTTGGTAATGCAGGGAAACACATGCCTTCACAAGCCGCGTTAAATGTTAAAACATTAGAGAAAATTGAATTTTCCCAATTTAAAACAATTATACTCTGAAATGGCTGAACCTTCCACGAAAGTAAAAAAGATAGCTTTGCACAAATGTAACTTGTTTGACTCAAAGGGGGGTGGGGGAAGGGCTGGGCTAGATAAACAAACAAACAGACAAATCAAGAGTCTAGTTTTTGAAAGAACCATACTTCCTTTATATCTGAATCCATATAGCACCCCCCCACCCCCACCCCAAGTGCATATATCTTCCACATCGGGGCTCTTAATTCTGTTTTTAGATACAGAAAACAATGATAGATGTATACATGTCAGCAAATGCCTGTTGTAAGCAAATGTCTTACTAATAGCACTTGGCTAACTCAAATATTCTCTTAAAGGTAATCTGTCCTAAAAACCAGCAATCCATTCTTGTTGAGTACACTGAGCTCATGGTAACCCAGGTGTGTGAGCGTGGGACTGTGCTCTATCAGGCTTTCACCGGCTGATTTTCCAAAGGACATTCACCAAGGCACCAAGGGGTGGAGTGAACGGCACCCCCAGTCTGCTGGCTTGCGCTGAGTGCATTAACCATTTGGACCACCTTCCAAAGCTCCCCAAGTCAGCGCATTGGCACCGAGTCCACTGTGACTCGCAGCAACTTGATAGAAAGAACAGACTAGAACTGCCGCTGTGGGTTTCTGAGGTTGTCACTCTATGGAGGGGCTGGTGGAGTTGAACTGTTGACCTTGTGACCAGTTCAATGCTTGATCCAGGAACTCCAAATCTGACTCAATAGCCTGCTTGCTGCTGTCAGGAGTCACCTTGTTGGTTTGGGACTCAGAGTTGCCCTGTGTCCAACACAATGACATACTACTGCCTGGCCCTGCACCATCGGCGCACTTGTTTTTACATGTCTGAGCTCATGGTGGCAGACACTATGTCTGTCCACTTTGTTGAAGGACTTCCTCTCTCTCGCTGACCTTCTACTTTACCAATCATGATGTCCTCCTCCAGGGACTGACTGGTCTTTCCTGGTCACATGTCCAAATGGCCCATGGTATACTCAGTATTCTTTCCAACATCACACAGGAACCAATCCTGACACACTCTTTTTCTGGTTTTACACCACGCAGTACTCCTTGTTTTACTCAAGCCCATTGGTTTATGTAAAGTGTGGCAGCTACATAATCTGGTGTCAACTTGAGACTATTAAGAGTGAAGGGGTGCAGATTGGCCTCAATCAGGTCGCAGCTTGATGGCCTCATTTGGAGGCATAAAGGAGATAAATAGCTCACTGGAGGTCAGATACACTCTCTTCTTGTAAGACATTCCTGTTAACAAGCTACATGGAACTATGCTGATGGAGCCAGAGCTCTGGAGCTGGAGGAGCCACGTGGAGATCCCAGCCAGCACTGAGATGCTGCCACTGCCACTGGATCCAGACGACTTTCCACCCACTGGCCTGTAATCTTCCTGCATTCGGCATCACTGCATGTGTTGTGTGAGTCTGAAGAGGAATTTATAGACTGATATTGGACATATGGGCTAATATAAGACCGAAGGAATGGACCACAACTGGCCTGAGATGTTTGATCAATATACAATTGCTCTGGTATATAAAGCTCTTTCTTATACACATATGAGTGTCTATGAATTTGTTTCTCTAGTCTACCCGGAGTAACACATAGAGGTTCCCAATGACTACGTCCCATTCCTCCCAATGATATCCCTAATCTGTTATGATTCCCACAGTGAAAGACCTTCGCTTAGTCAATAAAACACAAATAAAGATCTTTCTGGCATTCTGTGTCTTTAGTCAAGACCTATGCAACCCCAGTGATGATACCTCTCACCCCACACCCTCTTCCAAATCCTACTTGGATTTCTCAGAGTCCTCAGTTGATTTAGTGCTGTAACCTTTACGGACGGCCTTTAGCACATTTTTCCTTAAGCGTGATGTTAATGATATCATTCCATCATTCCCACATTCTGATGGATCACCTTCCTTGGGTTCTCTTCCAGTCCGTGGGCAGCCTGCTTAGCAAATCGTGTTTTGATGACTATTCCATTAGCACCCTAAGATGTACTGCATGGGGGAAATAGGCTGAAAAAAGACTCCTTAAAGTACTAAAAAGCAAGGAAAGGCATCACATTGGGGACTAAGCTGTGGTCAAGTCCAATCGCCCCAATGCATACAAGAGCCAGACACTGACTGAGGAAGAACTGGTGCACCTGAACTCTTGGGATGGTGACTGATATTAAACATACCAGGGGCCATCAGAAGAACTAACTGGTCTGTCTTAGAAGAAGTACAGCCAGAACGATCCTCCGAAGTATACCTGGGGAGGCTGCATCTCCAAGCTGAGGGCATGGTGTCAGGAGAGGCTGGATCCTGGGGGAGGATGTCCTCCTTGGTAAAGTGGAGGGTCAGAGAGAAAGAGAAAGGCTCATGACAAGACAGGTAGCCACCGTGGCTGCGACAATGGGCTCAAACATGGGGGTGGCTGTGAGGACGGCGCAGCACTGAGCTGTTTGGTTCCATGGGTGTAGGTGTGTTTGGTTTGAGTTGGAATCCACTCGAGGGCACGTGACCACACAGCTCTCATTGAATGGAGCGTGATGTGCTGTCCCCTGGAAACATTGGGAGAGTTGTATTTTTCTATGGTTAGCACCGCAGCATAAAAAGTGAAAAAGAATGAGGCAGAAAAAAAAAAAAGGTAGAATTCTAGGCACTGAACAGTTGTCCCAGGATCTGGAGGTAATCATAAAACAAAACAAAACTAACAACAAAACTCACCCCCATCGAGTCGACGTGGACTCACAGCGACTATGGGACAGGGTCGAACGTCCCCTGGGGGTTCCCAGGCTGGAATTCTTTATGGGAATAGAAAGCCTCATCCTTCTCCCACAGTGGCTGGTGTTTACACACTGCTAACTTTGTGGTAGGCAGCCCAACATGACACCACCAGGGCTCCTTAGAGATAATCACAGGTAGGTTGAACTTCTGACTCCTTGAGACCTGGTAGCTAGACAGTGGTTTCTGACCCGCTCCTGACCCCCAGCCCTTCATCCCGGCATCGAGTGTTAAGTGAAGACAGACGAGGGCCGGTTGACATCTATTCATATTTGGTCTTGGCAGCTCCGCTTCCCACAGGGTAACAAAGCGTGCATGGTACGTGTGTGCAGAAAAAGAGCTACATTCTTACTGAAAACAACATCCTGCCTGGCTAATTCCGTGTCGTTGACAGAGGGCTGCTGGAAGGCAGGCAGGCTGCTTGGTGGTTCCTTCATCCTCTCTGCCCTCCAGGAGCCCCGCACCTGTCAGAAGGAAGCCCCGAACCTGTCAGAAGGAAGCCCCATACCTGTCAGAAGGAAGCCTCGCACTGAGAATGCTGCCTTGTCAATAGGGTACCCTATAATTTATGGTCTAAACTGGGCCACTCTTGGGAGTAAAAAGGGATGCTCTAAATAACCACAAAAGGGGGCACTATCGGGCAAACAGAGACACAGAGGCAACCTGCTTATAAAGCAACGCGCTCCCTCTGCATGCAGCACCTAGGCGATCTCGCCAGGCTTCATCTGGTGGGGCTTGTTCCACTGCAGCTGATCTCTGTCGGGGCCCATCTCCATGGCACGGAAGGCCGCACACTTCCACTGCACCCTTCTCCTGGCCCTTTCGGTGAGGACGTCAGTCCTTGTGAGGTCTACAAGCACATCTACTCTTCGCTTCTAGGGTGCCCACAGCCCTCTTTCCTGCCACTCAGGGCCAGCCTTGCCTACTGCCACCCCAGTGCAGGC